AGGTGTGGGCTGCCTAATGTGTTCCATCAGTTGCCTATTACACTGCACATGTTTCTTCTAACGTCCCTGTGGCTCGGTTGGTTACTCGGTTTTCACCTGTGTCCCCTTGTTGTGTGCCACCCGTGTTACAGTTTCTCCTTATCTTCCCCTGTCGCTTCCTCTGGGAGTGTAGTGACATTTTGCTGCAGTTTTGATACTGCGGCTGCGTGTGGGGGTATGGTTGTGGCGTTTTGTTCGGCCCTTCTGTGCTCCTTCTGGCGCCTTCCTTGTTTGGATTTTTGTTCCCTTGATTTTCTGGCGCCCTCCTTTTTTTGCCGGTCTTGCTGTGCCGGGCCTGGTTTTTTCCATGTTCCTTGGATTCTCTGTCCTGACCTCGTTGTCCTCGCCTAGTTGTGCTGGCTGGGGATAAGCTTGGGCTCTTCGTCTCGCCCCTCGCCTCTCATTTGCTTTCTGTTCAAGTCCCGGAGCCTTATGGGCTCTTTTCTGCACTGGATGCTGGGTGTGGGGGTTGGCCTCCGCAATTTCCCTTCCTCATGCATTCCTCTCGTTTTCCTGCTTCACTCTTGTCCCTGGCCGCTGGTGCTGGGGCGTTTCTGCTAGTCTTTTTATCATTTCCTCCTTCACACAGTTGTGTGTTTTGTTTGTGCCTTTTGGCCTTCCTGTTGCCAGGTTTGTTTCCTGTTTTCATGGCTTGCCCTGCCTGTTGTTTTTTTCAAGGTCTTGTGATGTCCCTTTTTCGGTGTCTCACGTCGAACCCGTGGTTTCCGATTCCCTGGCGAGCTTGCTCGTGTTGGAGTTTTCTGTTCGGCAGACGTTCCATCTCCTTCTTGCCGGCTTGGACTTCCAGCTCTGCTTCCTTGGTGGTCGCACCCAAGATCTTCCTGCAGCTCCACCTTTTCCTAGGCTCGGATGACCCTTGACATCGCTGATTCCGTTCTGCCTCAGGGATCTCGCGTCCGTTGGTGGTCGGGTGGTTTCGTTGTTGGTGTCCCACCTGTGTGCTTCTTGGCGGCAGTATGGCGTGTTTTGGCGGTCCTTCCTTTTCCTTCTGTCCTTTCTTCGGTGACTGAGTTTATTGGCGTCAGCTTGGTTTTTCTGCTGGGGCTTTGGGGCCGTCGACTTGCTGCATACTGTCTCTTCGTTTTATGCGGCGCTGGCGGAGCCGCTTCGGCTTGCTTTCGGACTTTCATCTGCGTCGTTCGTAAGCTGTGTCGAGCTTGTTTCACCTCCGGCCTGTTCTTGCGCCGCTTGAGCCATCCTAGTCATTGGACAGATTGCTTTTTCTTTCGTCTCGTTTTCTTATGGCCCCTTTGGTTCCGGTTTGTTTTTCGATGGCTCTTTCCCGGTTGGCATTGGCCTCTGGGGGTTGGGTAGGTAAGCTTTATGCTCTCCTCCTGCCCAGGGTTTTTCTGCTCCTTCGGTTGAGGTGATCGGTTTGGTCGTCTGCTGCCTTTTCCATCTTTTCTGGCGAAGGATGAGACTGCTTCTTTCCGGAGGGGTCCCTGGGTTGTTAATGGTTGGTTGGTTGGGCCAGGGGTGCATTTGTTCTTGTCCCGTTGCGGCTCTCCGCCGTGGTTGGCACGCCATGGCTTCTAGGTCCATGGACGCAATTTGGGTTGCTCCGGTTCCCTTCTTCCCTGTTAATGGGCGTGGGTCTCCCAGGTCGTCCGCAGGGTTCTTCAAACTCTTCAGCCTGTGGTCTATCTCCGTGCCCATGACGTCCACAAGTTCGCGGCTCTTGCTGCCATCTTTGGTACTGTGTCCTGGGAGGACGTTCAGGCATGGGGACTTTGGAGGTCGAAAAGGATCCTTGGCTGTTCGTTACCTTGTACACGTTCCTGGGCACAGTCGGGCCTGTGTCGCTTTGGGTTGGCGGATGCATCCTGTTGTCTCGATTTCGGGTTGAGTAGTATGCGGCAACCACCTCCCGGGTCGGTCCCTATTCTTTTCCTCTGTGGGTAGTTAGCTCCGGGGAGCCATAGGGGCTCCCCCCAGAAAACCAGCATTGAATGTAATGAAACACCATTTTCTGGGTGAGTCCCGGAGGCTCCCCGGCATCCCTCCCTCCCTCCGGCGGTTTTTTCGCATGTTTTTGACATCCAGCCTCAGAACTGGGGTGTGGATCGCCGGCGCGGTAGGTCTGGGGCTCCCCCTTCCCCCGACCCCCGGGGAGGGGGGGCTGCACAGACAGCGGCGCGATGACGAATGACGCCATATTAGTTTGCTCGTTTTTGTTTGGGGAGTTCTATCCACTCGTTCGGCTTTTGGTTGCAATTTTCACCAGAATAGGGGTTTGTTTTGGGACGCCTACCTTTCTGGGTGCCTAACCCGGTCGATGGCAGACATAGAATTCTTCCAACCACACGGGGGTTCTATAGGCCATTGCTCCCCTTGCCTCTCTGAGGGGGCCAGGTTCTGGCTCGTTGTCCCCGATAGGCCCATAAGAACTCCGTACACATGACTGATGCCAAAGTCTGACATTAGCATATCAGCCTGGTAATTAGCTCCAGGGAGCCTCCGGGATTCACCCAGAAAATGGTGTTTCATTACATTCAATGCTGGTTTTTTGAGCCTTTGTCTTGGCAAATAGTTTATGTTGCCACTAACAAGCCTAGATATCTCAGACTGAAATATTGGTGTTGGTTTCTTTATTCTTACCTTGTGGTCCCTCCTAGCAGGCTCCTCTATTTTGAGGAGCAGCTTCTTCATCTTGTGTCTCTCAACTCCTAGCTACCAATCCTGCTGCAGTGAGCACCTGTGTGCGACAAAGATTCCGAAATCTTTTGGAATTTGTAGCATGAGGAAGGAGAAAGAGAATGAGGATGCCTACTGAGAGCAAAGACCTTTCGCACAACTGATGACCCATCTTATAAGCCCAATGCTTGGCTTTATCCATGTAATCTTCACACCAGGAATGTGGCGTGATCAAGGTTGCCACCCAGAAAAAGCAAAGAACACATTCCTGAGAGTAAAAGTGACATATACCCAACACATCAAATAATTTAATGGTAAATTTTCCAACTACATCAAACACTGTCAAGCCAGTCCCTAAAATGTTCGACCATCACGAACAAAATGTGGAGGCATAGTAAATGATGTAGCCAATACAAATGTAGCCATTTTTGTTCCAGCCGGAACAAAAATGGCAAACACATGTACAGCAACAAAACTCTGCCAAGGTGTATTACAGCCTTGAGGGTACACAGAATGAAGTGCATCCCAACACACGGTGAAGAAGCGACCAGTTGTGCAGTGACCAGTGATGAATGTGATCAGTCCCCATTCATAGCACAGTTGTGCCCCACACAGCAGAGGTAAGTAGTTGGCAATGTAATGGTAGTCTCAAGGGAAAGCCACTGCTAGTAAAGGACCAAACTGGAATTGAAGGAACCAGATGTATATTTAATATTAATAATACATACACAGTCCAAATGCCTATTTCCAGGAATTGTGACAAGGAACTGCAAATAGAGTGGGGAAGTTAAAGAGGAGAATTACCATTGATGAAGGCATAAACTGACCAGGAAAAGAGACACTAACCATTGTCCATCAGTTGTGTAAGTCCAGACAAAAACAAAGATCTTGTTTACACACACACAAGAGAAGCATTCACCAATGCGGCATAAGCCACTGCACAAAAACCCAGTCTTGAACGTAATGAAATGCCTTTTATTTGAGGAGCCCCGGTGGCTCTCTAAAGCTATCTTGCTGAGATGCAACATACTAATGCTACATACACATTAGTTCCAGAAGTTGTGTTGTGCCTACTAGGGACCAGAGTCAGAACCTGGCTTCCTCACAGGGGCCCCTCCGTGGTGTTGCCTCGTCGTGGTGAGGGGCTCACGTACACCTCCCACGGACTGGTAAGGGTTGCCTTCGCCCCTCTCCTGCCCCCTCTTTGGGTTTTGTACATGCAGAAGGGCACCACGTAGGGTCCTTGTGAATCATCGGACCACCCGCTGGAGGGGTCGCCCGTGAGGGGCTGCCCTGAGTGGATGGCTGGGTGTCCAGGCTGGGGCAATAGGGAGAATGAGGTCTTTGCATCAGTGTGGGAAAATGGACGATGTGGTAGGACTCCCCTGTTAAAAAGGGGAGCACCGCTGGGGACGACGCACCCCTTTCTGCACTGGTCTGCGCTTGGCCTCCCTGGCTGCCCTGGTAGGTGGTATTCCTTGGTTCCAGGCTCCAGACTGTTTAAAATTATTGATTTATGGACAAAAGCTTTGTTGTGATGTTGGTGTTGCAACCTGATAATGATTAACTATCGGATAGCTGAAGTGCTGCTTGACAATTTGTGTCATGTCCAGCTGCATTTGGAAAGACTTTGAATTTTATGTAAATGCACTTTAGCTGCATTCTGGGACAAAGTAAATATTTTCCAGTGTCTTCCTGGCACCAGTGTGACCTGGCACACAGTTTTCAAAATTTTCACTGAGACTGCGCTGGTGCAGAATGCCACCCTTGCCCTGACTAGATCCTCTCCAGTGGTCGATAGGATCTTGCTTTTGGGAGTAACCAAGTGGTTTAGCTCAGAACATAAGGTGAGGAGTCATGATATCAGATTACAATGTCTTGGCATTTTGATCCAAAATCTTTTGGTTTTTCAGATGTCATGCACTAACCTTACAGCTCAAATTTTGGTTTGAAATGCAAATTTGTATAGATCCAGATTAATGTACAGTAATTGAAACATGCAAAACAAGGTTAAACTGTATTGTACTTCCTTTATTTCTTGAACACACACACACACAGCTGCTTCCTCCACCACACAGTAACTTTCATGTTTAGGCCCAAAGTGTAATAGCTCATTACTTCTGGAAGTGCCACCTAGAGCAGACTTTAAGTAGTTTACTTATTGTAGACTCATGTGGTGCAATTTTTACATTCATTATATTTACAGTACTTGTTCTTCAGGTTTGTTTTGTCTTGTGGATGAACATACTAATATTTTAATAATTTAATGATAATTATACAAAAATAATGAGCTTGTACTTGTACAGTCTGGATGAGGAGTTGGTGCGTCTTGGTCGCCAGCACTATATGGCTCGCAGGGACTCCACTGTTGACACCCTTACTAGTGTGAAGGGCTTCAGCTCTATTCATGCTGCCAAGATGCAGAATGAGGCCCTGGAAGCTTCTGTAAGTGAATTGAATGATCAGGATATTCCTGGCAGCTCTGGTGAAGCACAGAAAAGACTGCCTGTCACAATCCAGCAGCAGAGCATAGAGAAAGAAGACATTTCTAACCAAGAATCCAAGGGAGAAAAACAAGTCAGCCCTGAGGCTGTGGTGCCAAATGGAAGGACTCATTCAGAGGTTCCATATATAGTAATTAAGGAATCTAAAGGTTCTAATGATGAAAGTTCGAGTACAAAGCCAATATCAAAAATTAACTGTGTTAAGAGCAAAAGTCAAAGTACAGTGCCAAAAAATATTTGTGATAATGTTGTAGTGCCAAAAACTCAGTTCCGAGACAAACGTGGATGCTATCACCAGAAAAGACAGTCCCGGGCTAGATCCAGATCTCCACAACCCCCTGCATATGCCATTCAGATGAACCACATAGACCATGCATCAGAAATGGAGCTGCAGGTAGGAGCAGCTATCACCATAACCCCAGTAGACAACCATGACTTCAATAGGAGCCATGCCTCTCCAGGGGCAAGCTACAGGGTATTCCTCAAAAACAGTCCTGACGGCAGATGCACAGAAGACCATGATGATGAATCTTCAACTCGGACTCCTAATTTTCCACTGGGATCAAGAAGAGAGTCGAACCGAGGACCCAGCATGCCTCGTACAGCCTCTCCACCCATGCTGTGCCACAACAAGGTCTTCCCACAACTTGGCATGGCAACTCTAGCAAGGGATCCCACCAGACCCACCACAAGCTCTGCAGGGACTTGGAGCCATGGAGCTCTTCCAGGCATACAGCCACAACAACAGGAACTGGGAGGGATGCACCCCACAGCACTGCGGGGAGTGACCGCAGAATGCCAGGTGCATCCACACACTCAGGACCCGCCATCGCCCACAGAGTCCACCATGTTGTGACCCCCACCCTCACAAGGCTCCTCACCTTCCCTGCGTCATCTGCCCAAGCTTCTATTGCACTTTCCACCCCCCTTCACATCCTTCAACATAACACGCCTCACCACCTTAATCTTCTGCATCCCTCACATCACTGCAATATTCATCATTTCTTGTAATTCAGTAGCTGATGCAAGTAAATTGTCTCATAACCTATTATTTCTCACACTTCAAAAGTGTCTTACTGCAGCAGTGCATTTTCTCCTTAGTTTCTCATTGACTAGACCTGAAACACATGCCTTCTGCTACTTTGTGTTATGTTATCACCTTTGCTCTGCCTTGTCACATCTCATGTTTACTTCATATCCTCACTACCATTCCAGTGCATCTTCTCCGTGGCTCAACTATTGTTCTTCTGCATCATCCCCTATGCCTTATATCTCCCATTCCTGTCTCATATTTTGTTCACAATTCACCCTTTCCTGGACTAAGTCTCCTCCTTGGCTATTCCACAAGACTTGAGCAACTCTGGCTTGATAGAAATGGTGGGCGGAGGTGGACATGAACATTACAACGGGGAACGCATATCATGGTTCTCATACTACTACTGTGGCCATTCTGGGTTCAGTTTGGTGCAGGGTTGCTAATCATTCTCAAGAAACAGAGAGAATGGAGCCTCAGTCATATTAATGTGATTATAATTGTGGTAAGATGAAGGGGTCTATCACCAGTAAATAATTACCTCTGTCTGCCCATACAAAACTTATATGTATGGAGTCTTGATTTGTATAAGACTTCAAAAAGCTAATGCTCTCTCTTCCTACAGTGACTTTTTATAATAAGCATATACTTTCATCTCTTAGTATATGACTATTTTTACAATAAACCCTCATTTCACTGCATCCAGTGACTATTTTGATGATCTCCCGTCCTTCGAATATGTTGATGTCAAACTTGCTTCCTGTACTATACAGTAAATATTTTTATAATTCACAATCCTCAAGATTCCTTGCAGTCACTTTTATATGTGTAAACAGAATATCTTGTCTTAAATAACCATAACTTCCATTCATCATATGAAATCTCCATCTATATTCCCTGACCACCTTAACTGTCATATTTCCACCTTTGGTGGAAATAAACCTTGAGACCTCGTCCCTTGATTCATCTGTGATTTTCTTTGCCAGAAGTATGAGCTAACTTTAAGGCAAAAGTACAGAGTTGTAGTCACTGTGACTGCGTTCATGCCGACTGATTTATGAGAGACACTTTGTAATGAGTGTTGAGGCGACTGTCTATGATCCTAGAGATAAACTCTGTCATAGGTTTCTTGGCTCGTTTCATAGAAAATGAGCTTCTTCAGACGTCCAGTCCACTGCACAACTGTTCATAGTTTATATTTCAAGTAGTAATAGAAAGAGATGTTTATTTGACACTAATTATATTTACTTTAATAGAAATAAGTAAAGAATTTATTTTCGTGAAATAACAAATACCTGTACATTTTATATCTCGGTTATTATGTGAATAATTACCAGAGGCAGTTGGAAGGCACATGGCACAAGTGTCGATTGAGAATGGGAGAGTTTTGCAGGTGTGGTGCTGGTGATGGGAGAGTTTTGCAGGTGTGGTGCTGGTGATGAATAATGTGTTGGAGTGTCTTTCAAACTGTGTCTTGATGAACGCAGTCGGCCGGTAGTCGCATCTCTGTCAGCTGAGTGGTTACCAGCGAACTAAGTAATAAATTGGGCCTTCGCTGCAGATATAAACAAGTGTTTGCTAGTGGCATCTGTAATGAAACAGATTTCTAGAGTCTTCTACAATAGGATTTGTTTCCGATACAGTTCTCTGTGACACATATAGTAACTTCTTTGTGGTACTGCTAAAATAATAATAGATTTTATTGCAGAACTTTGTAATATATCAGGGTTTTAGAGACTGAGTTCTAAAAATTAAATTCATTCTGTCTCATCCTTCACTCACTTTTTTTTCCTTTTTCATATTCTTAGAAACAAATTTTGGGGAACCCCATCGGCTTCCCGGAGCTATCCAGGCTGATATGCATATTATTAGACTTTGGCATCAGACAGTGTGAATGGAGTTCTAGGTCTACCGGGGGCCATGAGCCAGAACCTGGCCCCCTCAGAGAGGCATGAGGAGCAATACCCTATAGAAATGCACATGTGTAATTACCTAAGTGTGTAATTACCTAAGTATAGTTACAGGATGAGAGCTTCGCTCGTGGTGTCCCGTCTCCCCAGCACTCCTTGTCATATAACCCTTTGAAACTACTGACGGTCTTGGCCTCCATCATCTCACCTAACTTGTTCCAACCGTCTACCACTCTGTTTGCTAAAGTGAATTTTTTTATTTCTTCAGCATCTGTGTTTAGTTAGTTTAAATCTATGACCTCTTGTTCTTGAAGTTCCAGGTCTCAGGAAATCTTCCCTATCAATTTTATATATTCCTGTTACTATTTTGTACGTAATGATCAAATCACCTCTTTTTCTTGTCTTCTTGTTTTGACATATTTAATGCCTCTAAGCTCTCTTCGTAGCTCTTGTCCTTCAGTTCTGGGAGCCACTTAGTAGCACGTCTTTGCCCTTTTTCAATTTGTTGATGTGCTTCTTAAGATATGGGCACCACACAACCGCTGCATATTCCAACCTTGGTCTAACAAAAGTCGTAAACAATTTCTTTAGTATTTCGCTATCCATGTATTTAAAAGCAATTCTGAAGTTAGAAAGCGTGGCATAAGCCCCTCGCACAATTTTCTTAATGTGATTCTCAGGTGATAGTTTTCTATCTAGAACCACCCCTAGATCTCTTTCTTCATAAGACTATTTTAAAGATTTTCTCACATAATTTATAGGTTGTGTGGGGTCTATGTTCTCCTATTCCATATTCCATAACATGGTATTTATTTACATTAAATTCCATTTGCTAAGTGGTGCTCCATATACTTATTCTGTCCAGGTCTTCTTGAAGGGCATGACTATCATCTAATTTCTTATCTTCCCTATTATCTTAGCATCATCAGCAAACATGTTCATATAATTCTGTATTCCATCTGGTAGATTGTATATGTAGACAATGAACATTACCAGTGCAAGAACTGAACCCTGAGGTACTCCGCTTGTGACATTTCTCCAGTCTGATACACGTCCTCTAATTACTGCTCTTACTTTTCTGTTAGTCAGAAAATTTTTCATCCATGTTAACAGCTTACCTGTCACCCCTCCAATGTGTTCCAGTTTCCAGAATAACCTCTTATTTTTTTTTAGATATATGCAAGAGCTGTTACATTCTTGTACAGCCACTAGTACGCGTAGCGTTTCAGGCAGGTCCCTGGAATACGATCCCCGCTGCGAAGAATCGTTGTTACAAGCAAGTACACATTTTACTGTTGCGTTAAACAGAGGCTACAGTTAAGAATTTGCGCACAGTAAATCCTCCCCGGCCAGAATACGAACCCATGACAAAGCGCTCGCGGAACGCCTGACGGGTGTCTTACCACTACACCATGGAGACTGAACTTAGTTCAGTCTGAGTTCTTATGTGGAACTCTATCAAAAGCCTTTTCTGTGGGGAGCCCTAAGGCTCCCTGGAGCTTATCAGGCTAATGTATGTTATATTAGACCTGGACATTAGCTAAGGAGTTCAGACCTACCAGGGACCAGCGCCAGAACCTGGCCCCTTCAGAAAGGTTTCAGGGAGAAATGGCCCTGGAAAATCTCTTTGTGGTTGGGGTTTCCTTATCTGCCATCAACCGGGGTTAGGCACCCAGAAAGGTAGGCATAAAAAAACAAACCCCATATGGTAAAAAACTAAAACAGAAAACAGAACAGAGAGGTAGAAATGCCCTATAATCCAACGGAAACAAGCAAACAAGCAAACATCACACTTTACTGCCACGCCAATCGTCCACGCAGCCCTCCCCACCCAGAGCCCCGGACCTCACCGCCCAGGCTGCCTAGAATCAGTTTGTACACTAATGTCAACCAGGATAGACGCTTCTCTGGCCTCAGTTTCCTAGGCCTTGTTTGCCTTGTGTGGCGTTCACTGCCGTGTGTTGTGTTGTGCAGTCGCCAGGTGTTCCTCATCAGTACCAGGGCTGCATGCGCTTAGGGGCTTCCTTCCCCAAGCGCCCTGTGAGTACTGCCCCCTGCGTGACAGGGTTATCTTCCCTGGGGCATTCAGTAACCATTCCCGTTGAGGTTCTTGCTGCTCGGCATTTGCCTCACCCTTGGGGCCAGCTGGGGTTTGGGGCTCTTGTTTGGCTCTGGGTAGGGACTGGTATTGTGCTGGTTAGGGCATCAAGGTGTTGCACAACCTGCCACCTAAGCGGCGACTGGTTCCTGTTGCCTCTGGAGACGGTGTACTTTTGCGGGGGTTTTCTTTTGTTTTTATTTTCATTTTCCTGGTGGGGGTTTGCCTAGTGTGGCTATAGTTCCATTGGTAGTGTTTGGTGGCCCTCTGCTAGGCCCCTGTGATTGTACACGTCGCAGGGGTTTTCAATGTTGTCCTCTACCCCCTTGTTATTTTTGGGTTTCTTAACCGGTTAACAACACCTTGCCCAGGCTTCCCATAGTTGTTACCATACGGGCCCTGGAAACCCCTGTCGGGGCTTGGTGGACCATTGAGTGTGTCTTCCGGGTTCCAAACCGTCTTGTACAGGATCGTTGGTTGCTGTGCCCTTGTCTCCGGGTGACAGTCGCCACTTTTACCTCCGTCATGTTCCCTGTTGGGTCACTGACACCTTGACCCGGAGTCTTGCAAGAGATATTCTCTGCTTGTTCTCCAGTACTCTCCTGATGTTATTACTGTTCAGAGTACAGGCGGCATCCGTGTTGCAAGCTAAGTTGCTGCAACACGCTAGATTGGTTTCCCACTCGGATGCCCCGGGGTCACCCCGTTTTGGTTAGGTGCTGTTCGCCCTTTTCCTTCCCTGTTCCCGGCTCCGGATCGTTTGTGGGTTTTGGGTTCGTGGCGGGGTTTAGTTGGGGCTGAGACTCGGGTGGTTTTGGGGGCTGCCCCGTTCGGGTTGGGGATGGAGGTTTTCAAGCCTGTTCCTCCTGCCAAGGCTTCTGGGTCTTACCAGCGGCCCTTTCTTGCTACCTTTCCCATGGACTCTCTTTTCTTTAAGGGCGGAGGGCTTGGAGGACGACTCTGCCCAGGGACCTCTGTTGCGGGTTCCCGGGGCTGTGGGGGATGCCTGCTAGCAGTTCTGGGGCTGTTTGCCCCTGCCTGGGTTTTCTGCTTCTGGACATGCACATGGGTATACGAGCGAGCAACTTGGGTGAGTTTTTCACCTTTTTCTGGGGTTTTATTCTCCTGTTGTCGTGGGTTCTTTGGTTTCGTTCTGGAGGTTTCTTCCTCTTGGGCCTCCTTTGTGGGTTCAGGGGGCTTTGTTTCCTCGTGTGTGACCCGGTTCTGCCTTTTGGGGTTCCGGGGTCTTCCTGGCTTGCAGACTGAACTTTTTGGGTCTTGGCACGTGTTGTGGTCGCGCTGGGACTTTGGGGTTTTGTTGTCGAGGTGGGCCTTTTGATGCAGTTTTGTGCCTTCTTCGCCTGGCCGGCGTGGTGCTCTCTGCCTACTGGTCGGTGGCTTGTAATTTTCTTTTCACGTGTATGTGTGTGTGTACACATGTACATGTACATGTACATGTGTACACTGTGTGTGCACATGTGTATGTGCATACGCACGTGTGTGTAATGCAGCTTGTGTGTGTGTGTGTGTATTTGTGTGTGTATATGTATATATGTATGTGTACATAATATATATGTATGTATACTTTTTCTTTTGGAAAGGGCTCTGTTCACTTCACTGTTAACAGGGCGCTGGGGGAGCAGCTTGCTCTGTTGACTCTTGCATGGTCCCGCAGTTAGTGGGCGCTTTTG